TGTGTGACTCTCTTGTCCCCTGGTGACTGCTCTGCACATTGCTGGAGGCTCAGAGCGTTCTCTGTCCTGACGCAGATTCAGAACCTCTGCTCAGGTGTGTCTCCCACAGCAGGGATGGCGGGCCCCAGGGCACGATGTACATGTCTCTGCTTGGCCCCTGCCTGCCTCAGACCGGGCATGATGGGCTCAGCCTCTCTATGAACATATGAGCAGCCTCATTTGCAGGGGGAGACGGCCATACCCCAGAACAATCACTGCGCAGGTCTCTGGGGTCACAGGAAGTTAATGCGTCTGGCTCTGGGCTTGGTCCTGGGGGACACATGACACAGGGACTGACTTTCGGTGGTGCTGGCCTTTGGTCCAAAGCCAAACAAGGGCAGAAGTAGCTACTGCTCCAGGGTCAGAAACAGGATGTCACCCACCCACCTGACTTTCAGATCCACTTTCTTCTGGCAGATAGTCCTTCCTACAAGTCAGTATGGACAAGATGCAGCCCTGGCCTTCATGGTTCCATCTAGACGGTGGGGCAGCCTAGTGGAGGCTCTTGGATCTGGGGCAAAGGATAGAGCCCCCCCCAACATTCTTCCCGTGTCTCATGTTCTCTGTTCACCTGAAAGCCAGACGATGGCTATTCTCAGGTCTCACTCTTTGAGGGCTGACTTTTGCCCCAGTGCTGGCCCCTGATACGAAGACTGTGTGTGACGGGATCCGTGGTTTGGCAGGAGACAAGTAGTTCTGTTTTGCCACCAAGGTGGAGGTGGGTGTGGTCCACAAAGTCCCACGGGACCAATGGAGTAATTGGGTCATGTTACAGAGACCATTAGTGTCAGCCGATGTTCCTAGTGTCCCTGGAACTGAAAGACAGGGGCAGCCTAGCGGTTGTCATTCATCTGTGTCAACAGAGAGCCTCATGTGAGAAAGACTGTTGGAGATACTGAGCCCCAGTGGGAGCTGTATCGTGACTGTGAGCCCCTAAGACTCCTGGGACCAGAGCCACCTACGGGGACCAGGCAAGGCCTGACCAGCTGGGTCATGGGTGGGCATGCGCAG